ATGCCCCCCTGTCCTCAAGGGGCAGAAAAGGAGCCCAGGCTCTAGTGGACCATCCTCCAGTCCTTTCGAGCCTTAGATGCCCAGGCAGCTGATTTGGCACCCCCATAAATAGGGAGGCCAGGAGAACAAAGGTGAAGTCCCAACTATGGGATTCACTCTGCCTCAGTTATGTCTGGCTTTATCACCTGCCTAGAGGCCTGAAACAAGCTACCAGCATCTGCACAATAGGGTGGCTCCGATGGCTCATACTTCCATTAGTAATTCCCCAAGAGGATGAAGTTCCATTAAAGAGTGGGATGAATAGTTTCACAAGGGGAAAGAAAAGGGAATGGCCTTGTTGTCACAGCTCAGTGTCCCCACAGAGGATGACCTGATGGCAGACGGGACCTCAAGATTCAGAGTTGACTCCAACAAGTGGATGCCAGCATTACTTTGACGGTGAGATACAAGGCACTTTCTCTGCAAGGACCCTGGCAGGGGAAATGCCAAAGAAAGAGCCTTAACCTGCTGGTGGAGAGTTTAGAAACTTTCTCATCTTTCTGGGCAAAGGCCCTCTAGAAAAATCTCAATAAGCCTATGGATATTCTCCAGGAAAGAAAGAAACCACAACACCCACACTAACAGGCAGGTGTGCTCGCTCACACACACACACACACACACACACACACACACACACACACACACACACACACACCTCTTTAGGTATGTACATATGCACAAAGCCACATACCAATAGATAACCCTGGAGCCACTTCAGTGCAGAAGCTCTATCCAGCCAGGACCACACCCATAGTTTCTACGCATGCAACCTGCAGACCCAAGCTACAGACCTTTCCATGGGACTCAGCCCTCCTCTGCATCCCAGCAGCAACCCTGTGGGCTGATATCACAACTCCACATTAGAGATGGGGGCCCAGGGCCTCTGAAGGAAGATGTTGGAGATCTAGCCTAGGCCTTCCTGACTCCAGAAAAGCCCCAAAAGAACTTCCTGTGTTCTGTAAATCCAGAAAAGACACACAGAGGCCAGAAGCCCTGAAGATGCCCAAGCAGTCCTATGGGGACTCTACTGCTCAAACACCATGGGGTGTCCAACAGAGGCTCTTCCTGAACATCCTTCCAAGGCCTCCTGATGGCCTGGCTGAGGCCTATGTGTGAGCCCAGGTGTGGCAGCCAATGAATTAGCTATTTTTGCAAACCACATGGCCATGGTCAACAGTAATGGGGGACTTTTCCTGGAGATGCTGTTCTGTGCTAATGGTACAGGGACAAATGGCCTGTCTGACCCTCGATGGCATCACCATGCAATAGCAAAACCACTAGAAGCCCAATTTCGTTCCAACATCCCAACTCAAAATCCAGTAAGCAAGCCATGTATGGTGGTGCATATCTGTAGCCCCAGCACTCTGAGGGTTGAGGCAGGAGGATCATGGTTTGAACCCAATCTAGGCTACCCACTGAGACAGTGTCTTAAAAAAAAGTTCCCAGATCCCAAAGTTCTGAAAACCAAAGACTCTTAGCAAGCTTAGCACCAACTCATTTGGCAGTTGAACGTGGCTGAACTCGAATGAGGGGGTCTTGAACAGGTCATACCTTGCTTAGTGTTGGTGTTCCTGCCTCTGCAGAGACACTGACATGGGATGGCTAGGTGCTACCCTAGACCAACTTACTGTAATTTAGTCATTTCTAAAACCAATGAGAAAAGAAAGGTGAGGATGTACATCTGAAGACTGTTGACCATGAAGGTTCTGACTGCAGGATTCTGGCTGTGCTAACAGGCCATTTAGACACATCCCAGAGGGTAAGACACAGGTTGGCCAAAGTCACCCCTGGGATATTATGCTGCTCTACAGGAACAGGAGACAGGGTTTGATATACAACCCTGAACAGGAATTTGGCTATATGAACATGCACAAAATTATATAACACATAAAGACTAGGAATTGTAACTTAGTAAGACTTTAAGACACGAAAGAGACCAATCTTTAAATACCATTCTCTAAGAAAAAAAATGTGAACCGCACCTTACCTCTTAGGTTTCTTGACATTAAGACTGGCTGGCTAAGCTTTGTAAACTGACTCTCCTCCCTGTCTGCTATGGTGTATAAATTAGCCAGGTTCCTAATCAGCTCACACACGGGTGCTGCTCACACAAAACTCTAGAGTTCCTAGTAGAAGCAGAATGTGCCTTTGACCTTGGCCTTGTCATTTGCTTTGTGCCACAGAATGCTAGAGGGTTGGGAAAGCCCTTTGTTATGAGAGAAGATGAACTCCTAGAGCAAGACACAAAAAATAAGAGGTGTGGAAGACCTTAGCCCACCCCAAGAAATGCACATATATCTGAAGAACACTTGAGCAACTCTGGTGGGTTGTTTGTTACACCACATTACTGAGGTAGTTGCTGACTGATACACTGGCTTACTAGGTAGAAGTATATAAAGTCAAAGTGTGTCTAGAAGCTTAGGATGTGCTCCTTATTTGCCATGCTATTTCCCTTGTCTCATTTAATCCTCACAGAATGAGGCAGAGGAGACCAAGAAAGGCCCAGGAGACTTCAAGATTTGCTCATGATCACACGGCTGCAGAGCAGTAACTACTCAGGTCTGAGAATTTTAGAGCATAAGGTTTCTACCTACTGTGTTATACTGTCTCCCTCCCAGCCTTCATCTGTTGAATGAGCTACATTTCTCTCTGTGGGGTCCTGGGCTGGGAGGATGAGAAATGCAAGTCACATTCAGTTTGTAAGCAGTGTGTACCCAGGACTCTGACACACATTACAGAAGAAGAAACACTAAGGTCATGAGGGAACCAATTCTGACTATATTCTCACCACCACTTACCGAGGATTGTGACAGGCATTAAGGACACACATACCCCAAAGCCCAAACGCAGGAGATGGTCAGTGGGTTGAAGCAGTTGCCCAGCTACCTGAGTCTGGATCCCCAGAACCTGCACAAACACCAAATGCAATGGGACTCATCTGTAACCCAGTGTTCCTGCAGGGAGATGGGAGGTAAAAGCAGGAGAATCACTTGGAAGTTCCTAGAGAGAAAACAGCACAGCAACAGAGAAACAAGAGGCCCTGCCTCAAACATGGTGACAGCAAGAATAGACTGATTGTCTTCTGAGCTGTGTGTGTGTGTGTGTGTGTGTGTGTGTGTGTGTGTGTGTGTGTGTAAAATGTACATAAAAACTCAAGTCAAGGGACAATTACTATCTCCATTTTGCGGAGGATAAACTAAGATCCCAAAAGCCACCTCTGAAAGCAAAATGCCATGCATTTAATAGCTACCTTTAGCTTCAGAAATCTTCAAATACTCTACCCCAATGTCTATGTTCCCAAGCAACCAAAGGAGAGGGGTAGGCATGATCCTGGTTTGTCTTCTGCAGCTGGTACCTAATCACCAGAGTCATACCTGCCCAGGGAGGTATACAAGCCAGGGAGGACAGCTTGTGTGGCCCTCTCCCAACTCTTTTCACAGACTTTAACAGAACTTAAATATCATTGGGTGAGACCACCTGGCACTCACATGGTGAAGATTAGAGGTTAGAAAATTATCATTTGAGACGGGAGGGAGGAAAGGGTAGTAACCAGCATCCAAATTTACAAAGGGAATAACTCAAGAGTACTGGCTACTGTGGTGTAGGAAGAAAGATAAGTTCCCTCTGGGATGGTTGGGAACCTATAGAATAGGCAGCCATTGCCACCTAGAGGTTAGTCACAGCCACAACTGATGCTGGTGTCCACTGGGCCTGCGGCAAACAGGAGTGGCACTGACCTTGGCTAGGGCAGGCCAGAGTCTGAAAAGCCCAGCCCACGAGGCCAAGATCAGTGGGTGCTTTAGGAAATTCCAGACATACAGCTGGTGAAATTCTGACTCAGTGAGTGAAAGCACTTGCTGCATGGCTGAGGATGTGAGTTCAAATCCCCAAAAGCTACGTGAAAGCCAGACATGTATAGTCTTTATAGACCCAGCGCTTCCATGGGTAGATGGGAGGCAGATACAGGATAATCCCCAGAAGCTTGTTATTCTGCACACAGTGGAAAAACAACAAGAAATCCTGTTTCAAACCAAGTGGAAGGCAAGGACCAACACCCAAGGTTGTCCTCAGACCCCACAAGAATGTGTGAGAGTGTACACACACAAACACACACACATAACAAGAAAAAACATAAAAAAGAGAATTGCAGATGCAGACCAAAGCCTCACCAGTCACTATGAAGACTCAACTCTGATCTCTGATCTGGCTGCCAGCCTTGGTGAGACACAAGGTCCCCACAAGCTGGCTGCCTCAGTACAGTAAAGGAATGGCTGAGGTAGCAAATGGACCAGGTCTCCCAGAAGGCAGAGGGGTCCTGGTTCAGAGGGAGGATACCAACTCTCTGACTTCCTTTCCTAGCTACATCAGAAGGTAGTGGGGCCAGGAGGACGGAGGAGTGCAGGGCTCTGGGGGAAGCATACTGTAAGCTTTCTGGGGTCAGAACATCTGTAGAATTCTGTTTGTGCCCTGGGGTCTGCAACTGAATAGGGTGAGGGACACATACTACCCCTCAGTCATGTGGTCTGGGTTTTACTTCTGAGGACCTCTTCGGTGCCTATGTCCCCCAGGACCTTAGGAAAGTGGGAACTTAAGCCACTTGCCAAAATGAAGGCTACCTCCAAGGTCAAGGCAGCACTCTTACTAACAACAGAAGAAATGGTAGTCAATGTTAGAATAAGGCATTATTTTATTTTAAAACCACTTTGGAGGACAGGCCTGTGAACACCTAACCACACTGGCCACACTCTCACTATCACCTGGGGCTGGCACAGCTGTACTGAGGAGAGATAGAGGAGCCAGTCCACAGGGAAGGTGCCTTTTCTCGGCTACTTGTGGGACAGGGAGGTGAAGCAGCTGGCACCTCAGAGCCTGTCCAGGCACTCCAGACTGCCTTTGGACTCACCCACTTTTGTTATTATTCTCCTGCCTTCCAGGCAGAATATGGGACACTCTAAGTCATTGCCACCACCGGAGGGCATCTACCCATGGCCACTGCCTTTCTGAACACAGCTTAGCCCACGGCACTCCACACCTCTTGACTCAGCACTGTTGATGTTTTAGGCATTCTTCATGGTGCAGACGCCCTAAGCATTGTGGGATATTTACAACATCCTTCCTTTGGATTCACTGGGTCCTGGGAGGACTGAATACCCACTGCAACAACTAAAACTGTCTTCAGACATCTCCTTGGGAGCAAAATTACCCCTGGCTGAGAATCACTGAAGGAAACTGTTTCAGAGAGATTCAGCCATTTGCCCAGGAAATACCAAGTGATATTATGTCTCATTTAAGCTTGTCAACCAATGGGGTACATGTAGCAAACTCACCATATAAATGACAAAAGAGGGGCTCTTCATGACCTGCTCAACACCCAGGGACTGCCCCTTTCTAGAAGCAAACTCAGAAAGATCATTTTGCTATCCACAGACACATCATGCCCTTATTTGCCCTTATTTAAAGAAAGGTAGGAGGCAGCCAGAGAAACAGAGTGGCTGCGAGCATCCACTGGATGTAATGATACAGCCACTTTGTGGTGGCTTTCCAGGACTCAAAGGCTGTGGTATAAGACAGCCTCAGCAGTAAATACCCCTTAGCAGAACACAGTCACACTCTGGCAGCCTCCAGATCATCAGAGGATCAACTGGAGGAACAGGTCACCACTGAATGACCAGTCACAAAGACTCCTAACCCCAACAACTCCTCTCTTCACTGTGGCTACAAGGAAGTCCTAGTCAGGGAGGCCTAGTCAGGAGGCCCTAGTCAATCAGGTGGTCCTGGTCAGGGGTGTCAGCAGAGGAAATGAGGCAGTGGGTTGGGAGTGAAGGGGGGTACACATGCACAGGAGGTGTTGGTTTATACGGTGTGAGCTATGCAGTCTCATATGGCTTGTGTAACAACTCTGAGCCTCCATCTCTCTATAAAATGGGCTGGGCTAAGGCATCACTGCTGCTGCATTGTGCTCACTGTGCCCAGGTTGCTGGCCTCCATGAGGGTGGTCTCAGCCACTCTCACTTGATTTGGAGACATTTTCTCTTTGGTACCCTGAGAGTTAATACCATCAGCTCAATAGACTTTAGAATCACCCAAGAAACAAATCTATCTGAATATGTGTGAGGGATTTTATTGACTATGTTAACTGAGGTAGAGAGATGTGCCTTAAATGCAGGTGACACCATCCACCTCAAATTCAGATGACACCACAGATGGGCTGGGGTCCAAGAGGGCAGGAAATAAGAAGCAAGCTGAGCACATGTTTTCAGCTCTGCTTCCAGAAGGCAAGATGCAAGGTGACTAGCTACCTCTCACTCCAGCCACTATGCCTAACCCCCCCAAACTGTGAGCCAAAATAACCTCCCCTTAAGTTGCTTTTGTGAGGTATTTTGTCGTAGCAACAAGACGAGTAACTAATTTAGCAACCTTAAGCCTTGAGTTAAGGGCCCTTCCCTACTCCCTGACAAGCATGCCAGTGATGGGGGCCCTCTGACAGGATCGAAAGAGGAAAGGGACACAGGCTTTCTCAGGTAGGACTGTTGTTTTAGCTTTTGTTGAGTAAAATGAAGCACCCTAAAGTATTATATCATAAAAGCAGGGGATCACCTGGGAAAATGGTGCGTGACCTGATTTTCTTACACATCAAGCTACACCTCAGCTCAGACAGGGAATTTTCAAAACACATCCAATTAGAGTCCTGGGCCACTGGCCTCCTGTGCTAACAAGATAAAACTGATTTGCTTTCTGAGCTATGTAAGCTGGCTACTGGTGAATACTACTCCCTCCCAGTTGCAAAATCCCAACTCTGTCAAGTGGTTTCTCTAGACTTTCATTTCCATAGTTTAAAAATGGAGGTTTGAGAACAGGTGAGAACTTGTCTGGTATTCTGGTTCCATCTTTGGGGTTCCCTGCTAGATGCCAGCAAAGTGTGTACTTCATAGTTTCAGAATTCTATGAGCTATGTCTCCACTAATGTGTGTTGTGCCAACTGACAGGAAAAAGCAAGGTGAAGACGCACGCAAAAATCACACTCGTGCTTCCGCAGGTGGAGACACACCCAAAGATCACGCTGACATCTCTGTAGCCGGACTCAACACCGCAACACTTTGGGAGTCAGAGTTTTATTTGAGGGACTGGTGCTGGCTCCTAGTGTTCATTTAAACATTAAACTGTGCTCTGTTAAAAGAAAGATCACAGGAATCCACAGGCCCCATAAAATAAAGCAGGTAAAATATATGATAGCTCTTTCATGTTGAGAGCCTAGTTCAACCAGGGCTGGCTCAAGGGATCTCTGGGTTACCTAGTTGATCCTCACCACCAAGGCACAGACAGGGACATTATTTGTTGGGGGTTAAACCATCAACAAGTGGGTAAGGCTGTAAATGGCTCAAGATCACACTCTGGCCTTGAACATGTCCAAGTCAACACCCCTTTATGACATGGGAAATAAGCAGAGCCATGGGGACAGGGAAACCTGCAATGAGTCCCCTCCACAGCTGACCATTCTAAACTGGAACAGTCCCACTAGCATTGCTGTGATGAATGTTCTTGATGCTCTCCTTTGAGTCTTCTCTCTGCTCAGTGAGCACATAATGGCACTCTTAAAGGGCTGGATCAATCCTGAATTACCTAGTCAATTAAAGGAGGTTAATGCATTAAATACGCCACACGATGCTATGCAACAATTACTGACTGTGCTATGCATTCAGGATGTGGCGTGCAGTTGCTGAAAGGTGCTTCCTTGTCCCAAAATAAAAGGAAGGAGAAAGGACAGGTGCAGCTGAGGCTGAGTGGGACACTTGCCTAGCATGTACAATTTCCCGAGTCCCATCCTCAGTACCATGAATGAGTGAATAAACCAAGTGACACATAATTTCAAAGAGAAGCCACCAGTTCAGCTGCATGCTCAGGAGTTAGAGCTAGCAGGGTGTGTGATGGGGAAGTAGGGAGGCTACCTGTCTACATGGCTAGCAGACAGCCCACTCCCCACACACTCAACCCTCGAGGCTTCAATCCTTGCCTACATAATGGAAGCATCAGGCATTCTTGGATGGTTCCCCAAGCTCGAGGGTGTTTATTTCCATATGGCACATGATGACTAATATTTAAATATAGGGTGCAAGGGGCTGCAGAAAAAGACACACACCGAGACCACTTTTCATCAGGTGAAATGGCTTCCCTTAGATTCACCAGGAGAAGCTTCTTTGTAATACAGTATGTGAATCCACCTTCCTCTCCATCCCCCTCCCCCTTTCATTTTTCATTCATCCCTTTGTTTACTATGCTATCAACCCATCTTACCAGTACAGAGCATCAAATGACCCCTGAGGAGATAGGGCCTGCCATAGTGAGAGGGCTCTATAGGAAGGGAGCAGAGAGGCCAACCTGGAAGGAGGGAAGGACAGGGACCGAGAAAGAAGACAACCAAGCACAGCCTGCAGAGGTCCAGGTAGTTAAACCAGGTGAGCACACTGGGGGACTGGTGGGATGCGAAGGTCTGTAGGAATGTGGGGGACATGTATCCACAACTATCCTGATGCCTCCTGTGCAAAACAAAGGAAAGAAAGAAGCCAGCAGACCTGAGCTCCCAGGCTCCTCTCACCTGCCACAGGCAGGATCAGACAACTGTGTGAGTCTCAGGCCCTGAAGCTGCCACCACCAAGGCATGAGGAGCACACACAGGCAGGACTGGACCTGACAGTGGGTGGACTAGCCCAAGAGCTCTGAGCTGTGTACAGGCAGATAAGCCCAGTGTGAATATGCCAGGAAGTGCCCTGGGCCATAGAGGGATGGATGAAGGCCTACCTACTAAACCAGTGTGTAAGTGTTGGCAGCAAGTGTGTTTCTGGGCTTGCTCCCACCAGGGAAAGAGGGTAGAAGAAGATCAGGTGCCTTGGTTTGGGGTATGGATAGTGGCAGCCAAAGCTCTGTCTCTGGAAGGCACCAGCGTCATGTGAGTAGAAAGAACAGATCAGCTGACTAGCAATGCAGTGCCTGCATACTGACTGCCAGCCTCACCTGCCCCTGGCTTGCTCTGTGTATTAGTTCAGATATGTGGCTGGAGACTGTCTTCCCTCCAGAGACCAGGCAGGAACTGCGATGCAGCCCACGGTTTGGAGCTCCTCTCCACACACTGACAATGCCTGCCTCAAGGGCCTTAGCACAGATCCTCTTCCCACCAGACAGAAAGTACAGTAACTCACTCTCCTGGCATGGAGCACAGATGTGGTACCCTATAGGCACTCTGATGAGGCAGAAGAGAATAAATGTGTGAATGTGTGAGTGGAGGCAGACCTGCAAAGCAAGAGAGTAGGAAAGAAAAGTAGAGAAGTGGAGAGAAATGCTTGGTTATGCTGAAGAAATAGAGGATTTCAATAAACACATGGTCTTGTTTGTTTGTTGGACTTTTGTTTGAGACAGTGCCTGGAACTCACTATGTAGACCAGGCTGGTCTCAAACTCACAGAGATCCTCCTGCCTCTGCCTCCCAAGTGCTGGGGTTAAAGGTGGACACCACCACATCTAGCACATACAGTCTTTCTGAACTTAATCTGCCCACCTGCCTAGACTCATGATACCCAGACCTTCAAGGCTGACAGCTCCCTGACAACTTATATGTCAGGCTTGAGTTGGACCACTGATATATCCTGCTCTACCCCCCTCAAACCCAAAGACAGAGAAAGCAAGGGCAGAGAAGCAGGAGGCTTGGCTAAGGTCCAGAGACAAATAGGGATGACCACATCCCTACAGGTCAGGGGTTGAGGACTGTCAACATTCCTTCCAAGGAAAACAGGGCTCAGAGAAGCTGCATAACCACTCTGAGTCCTCAGCCTGGCTTGTCGTATGAGCAGTCAAGAAGACGAGGGCCTGTCTGAGCAACAGTGACAACTTCCTGAAATGGCATCTGGCAAGGGAAGCAGACAGGTGTTCACATCCACTCCACCAGGCACAGCACACCTTGCACACGGAAATGTCACGCATCATGCTCTCGCCAAGCTGTTGCCGTCTCCTTGTACTAAAAATGGTACTGTGCTCCTCTGTTTGTTTCTTTCTCTCTCCTAGAATAGAAACACTGTCTGTGAGCTCTTTAACCCGCTGCCTCTCCATGAAAGCCTATGCCAGTGCAGCTCCCAGAACAGAATGGCAGCATGCTTGGGCAATGCCAAGGAGACAGCTTAGCTTGTTTGGAAGGTCAATTGAGTCACATCTGTTTCACTAAAATAAAACTCTTGGGACCATGAGAAACTGTAGCTGAGCACCCTACCTCCTCACGCCTCCCAACTGGTTTGTAGCAGCCACCCCATGAGCAAGGTCAATTCCAACTCCAACTCCAGTGACCAACCAGGTGCAGTAACCCTGGGTTCAGCCCATCCACCAACTTGTCCCAGGCTATGGCAGCAGAGGGACTGATATTAGTGACTTCACAGTGAGTGGTATGCTCCATTCAGGGAGCTGCAGACTGTAGACACAGCATCTACAGAGGCTCCAAGAGACATCATCATTCCAGCTAGTGCCACAGGGACTCAAAACCTGGGGCTACCAAGACTGAGTGCCCAGACTCTTCCCCTCCCTTGTCAGTCAAGGGGGAATCATGCATGATTCTATGCTGGGTTCTGAACCAACACGCTCCAGAAGAGGTCGACAGTGCTGGTAAGGATGTGGTGGCTACAGAAATGTCAATGTACCTCTTCCATGTTCCTGGGACCTCTGAATATAAACTCTTTTCCAGGAGGCTCCCAAAGGTGTTGCAAGAAGGCCTGCAGTCTAGTGTGCTTGCCCAATTTAGTGGCTGGACTATCTCATCACTGCCCATTTAACAAATGGGGTCATTTTCTAAACTAGAAAGACAACAGTTTGGGATTTTAAGGAACAGATGGCTGGCAGAAGTGTGCTCTTGCCAAGAGCTTTTATTCTATACCCTGGAGAGGACCAGCTGGGTTCTTCCAGGTACTACCTGCACTGACCTCCAAATGGGAGAGAGAGACATCTTTAGCCAATAAAGCCCCACAGCGCCCTGCAGCTTGGGAGCCTACCTGGCCATTACACAATGGTGCAGGCAACCAAGAAAGCACAACTACTCCCATGGGTTGTTTTAGGAGGAGCAGGCATTGTGGGCATCACCAGAAGGTCCTGTTTGGGTAGGGTCATCTCTTGGCATGTCTCACTGGCCTCGAGGCACGATGAAGAGAAGGGATGAATCACTCCCTCCCCTAGGCCTAGAACACTCCTAATTCCAGGTCGCCAGGCACTCTGCTCTGAAGTCTTCAGGGTACAGGGCTGTCCCCAAAGCCTAGGTCTCTCTACTTCCTACTTCAGTCAAACAGAGAAGCAAAATAAGTTGCCTATTGTTTATTATGCTGCAGTGATCTCTTCAGCAGCCCCCATTATCTTTTGAACTTATTTCCATTATTGCCTCCATTTGGAAGAAAAGGAAACTAAGGCTCACAGAGGTCAAAAAGGTTACCCAAGGTCATCCATAAATTGGTAGGATGGTCTGGAAATCAAAGCCTTTGAGTCCAAAGCCCAGGGGACAGTTGCTCTGACCATTCTTCCTATCTGAAGACTTCCTAAAGGATGTGGAACTCCAATTAACAGGCATGAAACCCGAGGCAGGAGACTAGTCTGTGTAGACTTCCAGTGCCCCTCCAGATATTTCTTTCTCTCTTTACTTAAAAAAAAGATTTGTTCATTTTATTTTATGTCTCAGTGTTTTGCCTGAATGTGTGTGTGTACATCACATGCATGCCTGATGCCTGTGGAGGTCAGAAGAAGGAGGTATTCTGGGGATGACTGACTCATTAGGTGGATGATGGGAGCTGAACCTGGGTCCTCTGCAATTGCATTAAGTGTTCTAACACTTGAATCAATCCTCCAGCGGCACCTCCTTTTTTAATTTCAGAAAGTGTTCAGAGCTGCAGCTAACCAAAGGAGGAGATACAGTTAATTGCACACCCCGAGAGCATGGCTGTGCACCTTCTAGAAGTCCAAGCTGCTCACCCCAGGAGCAGAACTCTGCTCTGTCTTCCCAGGAAGTATTGCAAGAAATGACTTCCCAAAGGAACACAGAGGGGTTTGTAAATGTCCCCAAAGCCCTAGATGTTAAAGGTTTGGTCCCTACTGTAAAGTGGTGGAGCTCTGAAGACATAAAGCCGACAGGGATGTTTAAATTAGTCATCCAGGAATGCCTTCTAAAGGGAGATGGGGACCTAGGCCAGTGGTTCTCAACCTATGGGTCAACCTCAACTGGGGATCAAATGACCTCTTTCATGGGGGTTGCCTAAGACCATCCTACATATGAGATATTTACATTATAACTCACAACAATAGCAAAATTAGTTATGAAGTAGCAATTAAATAATTATATGGTTATAAGTCACCACAATATGAGGAACTTTATTAAAGGGTCACAGTAGGAAGGTTGAGAACCACTGGTCTAGACTCTTTTAACTCTCTTTCATTCCAAACGACTTTGTAGTGAAACCTCCAAAACCATGAGCCAAATACCTTTTCCTCCACAAGTTGACTGTCTCCAGTTATTTAGTTATATGACAGAAAGCTGAGTAACACTTGAGGACATTCCACCAATTCTTCCTCTACCTACCTGCTCCTCTGAGGTCCAGGGCATCTCACTATTATGTCACAGGATAACCCAGTCCAAACACAAGGAGTCCATCACTGGCCTTTGCCAAAAAAATACAAAGTCAAAAGTACTGCAAGGTACCACAGTTTTGCCCACAGCCTTCCTCCACAGGAAAAATGCAGATCCCATGAGAAACATAAGGAGAAAACCCAGGAATGGTGACAGGCAGCCCTGCTTCCCAAGTCCCAGGACAGACCTCACACTCCCTGCCCTTCCGTGAGTTTCCATATTATTCTCATCTGTGTGCGTTGCCAGCCGAGAATTCTCCCCTTTACCTCTCAGCTCACCTCAACCCCGCCCCAGGCAAACCTTATTAGTGAGGAATTAGACTGAGCTAGTCTTGAACTGAACTTCACAGTAAGAGGCCGCCGACTGTTGGCCTATCAGAGGCAAATGGCTGTGAATACCAGACCCACGTGGTGATGGTCCCTCTAAAAAGAAACCCTGCCCATCCTTCCTTCCTGATTGCCCTTCCAGCTACCTAAGCAACCTCTTCAGGTGCATCCTGACCAGCCTCACCTGAACCTGAGCTAAGGGCTGAGACCCTGCACTGTTACAGACCTGGTGCATGCTCCCACTCACCAGGGGTGTAACCCAAGCAAGCTCTCAGACACCCGGAAGACATGGATAACTCTTAGAAGATGTGGATGCACAAACTACTGTAACTCTGCTCCTGCAGACCTAGGGAATGGTAAAGTTCTGTGACTTATTCTTCCCCTAACCAGTGAAGAAAGGCATCCCTGACCATCTCACCTAACACAGTCTTTCCCACAATGCTCTGCCCCCACACACCCTATCCTACACCACTTCCTTTCCAGCAATGAGTACCAGACAGTCACTTGCTTATTTGGCCCCTGCACTCCTGGGGAGCAGGTGTCTTACCTGCTTAGCCTCATTAGCATACACCTGGCTCAAAGGGCTTCCATATACAAGTTAGCAGGCTCAGCAGTTGGTTGAAAACCAAGATGAATAGATGAAAGAAGCCCATGAGCATTGGCTGGCCTTGTAGCACCACCCAAAGGTTTGGGCAACAGCAACATACTGAGGACAGCAACACCCAACACTAAGAAAGCAGAGGTTTTGATTGACAGTTGACATTTTCTTAACTTGGTTCAGTTCAGGAGAGAAAACTTACCCTTTATATAACATGAAAAGACCCATTTTCTGATTTTTTTTTTTTTTTTACAAAAGGCCAAGCTTTTTTTTTTTCTTTTTGGAAGAATGGGTCTATTTCACTTTTTTATGGGTTCTATCTAAGTTACATTTTTTTTCATAATATCACAGAGCTTGGATCAACATCCCCACCTTGTGGATCAATATCTTCAACATTAAATAATAAAAGTTCCAGCCCCCAAGGAAACTGCAATCTAATAATATACCACCCTCCTCTTCACAGGCCCCAGGGCTTGTGGGGCTGGGGGCTGTTGTTGGCCACACAGCCTTGACACATTTTCCAGCTCCTCCTATCGCTCTAGCTCTACCCTCCTCTCTGGTCAGGAACACATTGCATCCTCACTTCTGTACCTGACTGGTCTCAACTCAGCATTACAGTCAGTGCATAGACCATTTCCTCCAGGACCTTCTAAAATCACTGCTCTCCAAAGGTGAGGCACCCCTCATCCTTCCACAATAGCTTCTGCACAGCTTCTTTGTGGGACTGATAAAAACCAGAGTGTGACTCAGCTTACACAAGCATGAGGATCTGAGTTCTTCCCTCCAGCATTCATGTAAAAGAGGGGTGTGGTGACACATGTCTATCTAGCACTGAGAGGGAGACACGGGAACCCCCATGGCTCACTGACAAGCCAATCTCTCGAGATAAGTGAGCTCTGGGTTCAGAAAGAGGCCTTGTCTCAAAATACAAGGTTGGAGAGCAGCATGCTCACATATGAAAATGTGTGCCTGTACATACATGTGCATGCACTCACATACTAAGTGCTAGATAACAGTGGTCACAACAGTAGTGGCTCCATGCAGTAAGTGTGGAACACAGACAGATATACAGGTAATTGGATTCCATATGGTATCATTTTGTTAATTTCTTCAAGCCTCATAACCATAATTCTCCATAAACTTTATTCCCCAACATGGAGAAACAAACTATGGCTTAGAAATGTTAGCCTATCAGAGAGCAAATTACTGTCTTGGACAAACTGAGATGTGTGAACTCAGAAGTAACTAATTCTAAATCAGGTGTGTCTGATTCCAGGGCCACTGCTCCTAACAGTCCCTGTGTTCCTAAGAGCAGGGTGTATACTAACTGATGTGCCTTCCAGAGACCAGAACCACACAGTCACTACTACTATTGGAATCAATAGTATTGTTTTGGTTTCTTAAGACAGATTTCATTATGGAGCTGGCTGGCCTGGAGCTGCTGTTCAGTCCATGCTGACCCTGAACGTACAGGCTTCCTGCCTTAGTCTCCTTGGTGCTGCAATAGGCAAGGGCCTCTACATCAGGCTCATGGGTACTATTCTGCATGTCATAGTGACCCTGAAAAATTAGTGGCATTGTCCATTTGTGCAAAAGAAGAAACTAAGACACACGCCCAGTATGAAAAGGTGTTTGCTGCCAAATCTGAGGATCCAAGTTCAAGCTCTAGGACCCACAAAGTGACTCATACTCCTCTGGCCTCCATATACATACCATGTTACACACTGCATACGTGTAATAATTTTAAAAACAAATTGCCAATCTTGACAGGATTGAAATTTCTGTCTTTCCTTTCTCCAGAATTCTTTGCACTTTCTAAAATATCACATGGTGGCCCAGTCCCCCAACCACAAATCTATTTATAAGAAAAAAAAAGCAGGCATGAAAGTCTTTATGGTTCCCAGAACTATTCATGACAATAAGTAATTAAGGAAAATTTGCATGCTGAATAAAATGAACAAGAAAGAATTCTACTTCATCATTCAATTGTGTTATACACATGCTGGGAATGGTGACCTGAACAAGAGGTGCAAGTGATGAGACAATTTATATGTTAAGAAGGGCACAGGGTTTCAAAATGAGGGGAGACCATCTAAGGAGAAAAATGAAGACAAGTTCAGGGAATACTGTGCCTTTGTAGTGAACTCAGTCATTTCCTTTCTTCTGACTTTCCTTTATCTTCCAACTCCTATGACAAGCACAGACTAGTTTTTACATTTTTAATTTTTTTCTTTCCTTTCTTTTTTTTTTAGAAATTGTCTATTGCAGCAAGGGGTGCACACTAGCAGATTTCCACACTGGGGACAAGCACTGTTGTGGGCTGATTAAAGTTAATCCAAGACCATCAAATGTCCAAATTGTCTCCCTTGATTTTTTTTGAGGTAAATAATTTCATTTTATATTAAACTTATTTGTAGCTCAAATCTTATTTTGATTACTTGTTTGGTGAAGTAGTAATGCTACAAATGTCTAGGAATCACATTTGCATGATGGCAGATGAGAAAGGGAGTTAGACGTGTGGGAGGAAGAGAAAAAAACCTGAATATTCAACAGTGTGTATTAAATCTGAGGCCTACTCCTCCACTCACATTCACACCCTACCCACATGCATGACTGTGTCTTGACAAGCAGAAGGCCCACTTGGCCAGACAGCTGCTGCAGGAGCCACAATGTGGTTGGTTAACTGCTGGACCAGAGCTGACATGTTTCCACATGCCTGATTTACTAAGTCACTGCTATGGGACTTGATCTCCGACAGTGGAATTAGCTGGATTCTCCCAGGCCACCCTAGCCATGACCATGTTCAAGGGAACACATGGGGCGGTGTGTCAGAAGCCAGAGCAGAGTCTCTTGATGTCGAAAATCAGCAAGCCCTTGAAGACCTCCTCACCTTCCTTCAATGTAATTGGTTCTGCCTTTCATGATTGTGGCCATGGATTGGTCCTTGTATTTCCATTCATAATGGAACAGATATAAGTATAGCCAAGCTTTGCCAAAGTTATACTTCCTGCTTAATTTACCACCATAACCAACTGAGCAGAGTGTCACACAGTGAAGGGCAACTCTTGCAGCAAAGGTCTTCTCAACTTTCATTAAATAATTAATTAAAGGTATCAAATTAATTAATTGATTTTGAGACAAAGTCTCACTCTTTAGCCATGCTGGTCTGAAATTTACTATGTGGTCCAAAATGGCCTTGAACTCATGGGCATCTTCCTCTGTGAAGTGTCAGCCTTAGTGCTGGGAATATAGACATAAGCTACCATTCTGAGCTTCTTATTATCTAATTTTCTTTATTATTGTCTGAAAAATAATTATATGATATGATATTATACAATACAATATATTATACTATATAATAATTATAATAATATAAAGTCTTTTTCTTTTTTTATGAGAAATAAGAGGCAGATGGCCAATGGATAAAAAGACCTACCTATTTTGTTGAGTTATTTTATAGATGCAAATCACAATTCTAATTACTATCAGCAGGAAGGTCCAGATAAAAAATTCCTTGCATCCAAGGGAAAAGGAATTAGTTTTAGCCTACAGGAAAAGGGAGAAACTAGAGAAATTTTTGTGGAGTGTTTGGCTAGTCTTTGAGAGACCAGGACAAATAAAAAAATGTCCCTGGGCCTAGAGCTGAGATTATAATTTAGTGGTAGGTTTGAGGTCCTGAAATCAATTCTCAGCATGAAGGGTAAAAAGTGCCTGAAACTATTTTCCTAATATATTAAAACTAGGTCTAGAATTTATCTACTTAATCTATAGTGAATCCTTCTAATATAAAGTCTTTTTCTGATGAAAAAAGTAACTGGTATGAAGATACTTTTGGGTCTCATCAGTTGTAAATTTAAACATCACACAGCTTTTAAAAAGCCTGTTTGGCTCCTAATATTTAAAAGAAAGAGGTTTTAACATTTAAATCCAGGCTGTTATTAAAATGATTGACTTTTACAGTCTGAAGTCCTATGTGGTAACAGCTGGCCACTTCCACCTGAGCTATGCAGACAGCTAGATTTTTCCATTTAATTTCCTATGCTACTATACACATTTTTTAACTTTTGTTTTGTTTTGTTTTTAGGGGACAGGGTTTCTCTGTATTCTTTTGGAGGCTGTCGGTCCAGCCTGGCCTCGAACTCACGGAGATCCACCTGCCTCTGCCTCCCAGGTGCTGGGATTAAAGGCGTGCTCCACCACCACCCGGCACATTTTTTAACTTTTGAAAAAATGGGAGTAGACTATATATTCTCTAGTTGACTTTTTTTCTGTTTTGGCATCTGTAATAAATAACTTTGCAAGCTAGTATGTGAGATCTACAAGTCTGTTACCCTGTGTATCCTGTGATGTTTC